GGTTTAGGGTTTAAGGGCTTGGGGTTCAGGGCCTAGGGTTTTCGTGTCACAGGCCTCTAAGGCTGTCAAGTGCTGAATCATTTTGCTCCTGTGGTCTGTCTTGTCACGTTTGGGGTTTGAGACTGGCTGCTCACTTTCCAGTCTAGACATAGAACTATTCGTCCCATATACTCTAAAGTCTATACCCTAAACCCTAAACCCTAATAGGCATAGAACTCTTCATCCCATATCGCCAGAGCCTGCATGGGCTCGGATGTTTGAGGATGTGGAGCTTGAGAGCTTTAGGGTCGTAAAGAGAGTGTTTGTTGAAGCTGCTGTTTCGGATTTAGGGTCTAGAGTTTTAGGGTTTAGGGTCCAGGGTTTGGGTTTTAGGGGTTTAGGGTTTAGCGTTGTTCTTCCCTTGCATTTTGTAGGGTCTGGTATCTCAAACTCTCGGCTGGCGACTTTCCCGCTTCCATGGTTGCTACAGACCCTGAGCCCTAGAACAAAAACCCTGGAATCACGAGAAAGACCTCGGGCTGTCAAGCAGCAATCCCCCGTTGTGAATGGTGTACTCGGCACGCTGAGCTTCACGGTCGATGTCATAGTACTTGACATATGCATCCTGGCTCTACATTTCTGTGGTGCTAAACGATCCCGTCTCTTCTGACGTACAAGCCGGAACAGTCCTCGCTTCGGTAGCACATCGGCTTCCTGTGCGACTTCTTCTCTGCAACACATGAAGCCTTGTCATCCGTGGCTGCTAGCCGACATGGTAAAGAGACAGGCTGCGTGGAATCGTTCTGCGGGAAGAATCCGAAGCAGAATGGATCTGTTTTCCACCCTCGGCACAATTGAGCCATCTTGCATCACAGATCCCACCGGTGTGCAGACCGAGATTCTCTTTACGTTGAGTGTCAATGCCACTGGCAATGCTGCTGCTGGAGAAACCTCAAGCCTAAACCTTAAGCCTCAAACCCTGAAATCAAGGACCCGGCCTATCAGTGTGTCCGAATAGCCACCCTGCTTGCCGTCCTTCCGTCGGATGGTGAACTTCTTGGGGTACAGAGGCTTCCTCGCTTCACCAGAAGAAACTTGCTCGATCTACGTCGCACATGCGACTGTCTACTACGAGTTAATGAGTATAACGTGTAACAGCCTAAACCTACAACTCTGAGCAAAAACTGGCGAGTATAACGAAATTGAAGTTCCAAGACTGTGACCCTAAACACTAAACCCTTAACCCTAAACCTAAACCCTAAACGTGATCCCAGCGTCGTGACAGTGCTTGGATCCACCTGGCTAGCGTTCGCAAGCGGCTGGCAAGGCCTGCAGGTAGCTTCGTTTGGGGTTTTACGGGTTGGGGGGTTGGGGTTTAGGGTTTAGGGGTTTAGGGTTTATGGGTTTAGGGGTTTAGGGGTTCAGGGTTTGGGGTTTAGGGGTTTAGGCTTTAAGGGTTTAGGGGTGTAGGGTATAGGAGGGTGAAAACGATTCGAGCAGCGCACATCAAAAGGCGCTGTGCTGACAGCCAAGGAACGTGACAACAATCTTGTCGTTGGCATCACCGTAAGCCATTCCGCCAACCCCCTGCTCAGCGGAGATAAGGCAGATCCAACCGTGGACAGCACACTATGCGCAAGCCCAGTCCACACTCGCAGTGCAGACAATCGTGATTGGACTCTGACACTCTGCCGTGACCATTGCATTTCCGAAAGACATGCATCTAGAAACGGACTGCGGCATTGCCTCACAAAGTCCACACCGTGGCATCTGATCCTACCAGAGGCTTCTCAGCCAGTGGTGTCTGGGAAAGGCCTGATGTTGTGGCTTGTTCAGTCCTGGTCGCAGCGACGTGTCCGGTTCCAGCCTTCCAAGCACAAGCCGCAGGAAGAAAAACGGACCTCTTCACCCACATTCCTGCAAGCTGAAATCTCTCCAAGACGCCCTGCGGGTTTCCATCGTCTGGGCCGGTAGACTTCTTGGTGGCATCCGGCGGATATGTACCAGGAAGGCCCTTGTCATGATCTGCCTGTGTCGAGTGGCACCAGTCGCAGGAGTTCGCCTCGTTAACCTTGCTGCAAACATGGGTCTCATCTTCCAGGGTCTCCAGTGTGGCATTTGAGCCGTCCGATCGAAGCATACCGGTCGACCCACACGGCAGCTTCGGGCTCTCGGGAAGAAGTGGTACCGTGAGGCTGCGTTCAAGCTCTTCTCGCTTTTCTGTATCGAGGTGGTGCACCCACCACATCACAGCCTGACAGGGACATGCTGGATCTCAGAAAGCCGTAAACCTCCGGCTATCCCAATCACGATGATAATACTAATATAGATACGAGTATCAGTATAAATAACAATACTAATCATGGTACTAGCAATAGTAGCAATAAACGATAACAATAACAAGATCAATAAAAAGATAGTAGTAATATTAGTAATACATATGCTTATAATTAAAAATTACGATCATGGAAATCATAAAAACAATAATAATCACAATAACAATAATAATAATAAATATTAATAATAAAAGCAGCAATAGCAGAAGTAGTAGTAGTAGTAGTAGTAGCAGCAGTAGCAGCAGTCGAACAGAAACAATAAAAATTCGAAACTCTAACTTCCATGCCTCTCTGCAGTGAGCCTCTCGCTGGGGTGCTTCGAGGTGCGCGAGCCCTTGGAGAATGCGATTTGACTTGGCCCACCTGGGTTCTTGTTCAGGGTTCTGGGTTTAGGGAGTTTAGGGTTTAAGCATTTTCGCTGGGGAATTTTAATTTAAGTTACCACAATACGGAAACCCCATTGTTCAGGTTACGTCCCATTTACATGGTAACTTAAGTTAGATTCTTTAACACTGACCCAGCCACTGCTGCCGCACCTCAGCCAACTCCTTGGGAACGCTTCGGCGATCCGCGGTGCCCTCGTAAATCTTCTGCAGGTCTTGGCTTCGGTGCCCGAGGACAGTGGCCATGAAATCTTGCAATTCAAGCAAGGACCACTCTTCACAGGCCTTTGTCTTCGAATGTGCATACCTCAGCTTCGGAAAGTAGAAACCACTCATTGAATTCAGATTTGCCCAGGCCGGCCCGCCTCAGATGCTTGTTCAAGGTCTTGCTCATCTCGGACTGGCTGGGCCCTCGGAATGCATCCCTGGGCTTCTTGATCTTCGCTCTGCGAAGATCCTGGACGGTCGCTGATGTTGAGCATTGCACCAGCACACCGATTGCCAGCAGCCGCAAAGAAGGCATCTTCAGCATAATTTTGCGGAACCACGTGAGCCTCGAAGCTGCGGCGTGTACAACATTTTGTCACCTCCACTTGGAGGGCTACGCGGTGTCGTCTGTTTGTTGGCATCCCGGATGCCTTAATCGAGAGCCGAAACCGACTCGCAGCCTTCCAAGCATCCCACAAAGACCTGTTCAACCAAATGATGCAATCCACTTCGAGGGCACCAGAGTGTCGCGGACGAAATCCCACCGGTGGGACTGTTGAAACGAGGGTCAGATACAGTCTCAGCAAGAACTTGCAATGCTTTCGGAATGCCCTCGCATTGAATGTGGCTCACCAAGCATCATAAAGCCATAAACTGCTGAAGGTCAGGTATGTCTATAAGTGGGTATGAAAGCGAATCATTTTGTACGCATGCAAAAACACTGTGGCTACAACATAAAATTGAGCAAAACCATGAACTGTAAGGTTCGTGCACGAGATAACATAACGAACAAACCAACCAACAATTGATGGTTTGAGGAGCTGGAAATGTTGGCGCCAATGTCAGTTAAATTATCGTCAATTATCGTCCACAGTTGCAGCATCAGGTTAATGAAATCTAACACAATGCAAAAAAAGAACTGGATGCAGCATCCCCCGGTGGAAACCTGCCAAAACGGTCGCAATCAATGAAGAACGCGTATTCGAAATTCAACAAACCTATCGTTCAAGTCTGAACCCGCATCGTGTCTGAGTCAAACTTGAGATTGAATTTTGAACCTGAGACACCAGTCGAAACAAATACACTACTGCGTATTTTTGCAAGTCACGAGCGGCATGCACGAGAATGTACAAGTTTTAGTCACGGGACGCACCCATGGGAGGACTGGCACGCTGCAGGCTCAGAAGAGGGCGAGCATCTCATCCTGGCCCAAACGCCAGCACGTGTCAACGCATGCAACGCTGCATTGCTCAGATCTGCGCATGGTCACGCCACAGGAACTATCCATGAGCCTATACAAAGCCTTCACAGCCCCACCTGGGTTAAGTTAAGGCCATCAAGCCCGAGGAACAAAAAAACACCCAAGAATTGTGAAATCCCAACCGCCCGCTCCGCCCACGAGCTTTGGAAGGCTTCCCTGGGATCGATCCAGGGCCCAGCGCAAGCCTCCACCTTGTCAGGCAAGCCGTCTTGAGGCAAATGATCCGTATCCTATGTTGCCTAAGGCATGATGCAAGATGGTTTAAAGAACAAATCTTTCCACTCGATGGGCCGTAGATGCACGATACCGGAGCCGATGGCCGTGGGTGATTCGCAGTGTACTTGTGGCCTTACAGTAGTTGCTACTGCTCAATCAAGAAAACCTCCTGATGACTCACGTCCCGACGTCATGCTGGCCGTCCTGGCCCTTAAGAACACTGCCGTAACCGTGACGGTGCATCTGCCTCCGTGCCTTGGCCTTTGCACCCGAGACATCCTTCAAACTGCCGGGCACAAGGCTGTTGAGCCCGTCCTCTGAAAAATCATGAAAAGAAAGACAGCACCACCTTCGTTTATGAGGTTTTCCAAACTCCCCAAAACAAGAACTAGCCCCAAATGGGCTGGCATCGGACTAGAGCGGCGCACTGCGAAGTGTAGCCGAAACG